GGGCGTGGAGGCCAAGGCCCCACACCCGTGGTGTGAGGGACCAAAGGGCGGAGCCCTTTCCCCTAATGTCAAAAGGACATAACGGGGCTGCACCAGGGGGTGCAAGGCTGAGGAGCAGCCTAAGGAACTAAGGGCAAGGGGGCCCAAGGAGGAGCCCTAGGGGCCATTAGCTATTGGTGCATTTGTGTAATTTTAGCAAGAAATGCCTATTATGTGACTATAAGTTGCCTATGGAAGTGTTTGTTGTTTTACTTCAATTTGGTACCGTAGGCTCAACGATGGGCTGCACTATGGTGTGGGCAACCAGCAAACAACCATTGCAAAGCAAAAAAACAAAACAAAAAACAGAAAAGGGTGAGAAAATCAAGCCGAAAGGTTCATACACCTTAAGACGAGATCACGGGACGTGTGAGCCTCATCACGCATCAAGAGACCCATCAAGGTCCAGGAGGACCCAAGAAAAAAGCCTGGAGGGTTGTGCATTGGGTGGTTGTTCACACCCAACAAGAGAGAGAGAGAGAGAGAGAGAGAGAGAGAGAGAGAGAGAGAAAGAGAGAGAGAGAGAGAGAGAGAGAGAGAGAGAGAGAGAGAGAGAGAGAGGCACTAGGGACCAATCCTTAGCCTCCCTTAGCCTCTCCTAGCCTCTCTTCCCTAGTATATAAGGCCTAGGAGCCCTTGTTCCTGTCATTGTTTTCTGTTGGGTTCCTTTCACTCTTCAGAATCCAGCGGCTATGGAGAGAGATCGAGTGAGAGAGAGAGAGAGAGAGGCCACACCAGCGACACTCGCCGCGCTGCAGGCGAAACACCCCGATGCTGCATCGCCCCCGGCAATGTTCGTTTCTGGCTACACTCATTCGGAGCTGCGGGTAACACCAGACGACCTTCGCGAAATACTCAAGCGATGCCCGAACGGAGTGGGAGCAGGCCCATCAGGTACCTGCTTTGAACACCTCAAAGACCCTGCGCTTGCGAGTGAGGAGGTGCTCATACTCCTCCCGCAAACTATCAGCTACCTCCTTAGCACCTTCCAGACGCAGGCGGTCCGCGATTTGCTACTGCCCTCGAGACTCATCGCTCTGGAAAAACCGGGAGGAGGCGTTAGGCCCATCGCGATAGGAGAAGCAATACTTCGCGTAGTGGCAAAGGCGGCTTTGAGGGAACTAGCACAGACCATTCGCGAATACTTCCTCCCCGTTCAGTTTGGGGTGGCAGTCACAGGCGGCGCAGAGTGCATCGTCCACTCAGTTCGATCTCTGCTTAAGGAGGATGAGAGCCGAGTAGCGCTACAGCTCGATATCGAGAACGCCTTCAACAGTGTCGAACGGCCGGCGTTCTTTCAGGCGCTCTCGCAATCGATCTTGTTCTCACTCCTACCCCTCGTACGCACGCTTTACGACGGCCCGTCTAGGCTTTTAGTGGACCACAAGCTGGGCGTCGATCAGATCATGAGCAACCGAGGAGTTCGCCAGGGTGATCCGCTCGGTCCGCTCCTCTTCGCAACGGCAATCCAACCGACACTTCTGAGCACGGCAACGCTACTCCCCGAGGTGGCGATCGTCGCCTACGCCGACGACATCACCATTGTGGGCCCTCGGGACGCGGCCTATGAGGCTTTCGTCACCATCACACGGGAGCTCCGATCGGTTGGCCTCCGCTGCAACATCGCCAAGTCCTCGGGGTGGGGACCGGATACGGAAGGGGGGAATGAGATCCCACCACCACAGGACCTGCCCATGAACACCAACGGCATCGGAGTTTTGGGAAGCCCGATCGGCACGCCCGAGTTTTGTACGGACAAGGCACAGACAAGCCTCACAGAAGCGGCCGCACCACTGCCCCTGATTGCTCAGCTGCACCCACAGCACGCTATGCTAATACTCTCGAGGAGCATCTCCCGCAGAATATCGTACCTGCTGCGGACCACCCCGGCTACAGTGCTGGAGAGGGAGGAGTGGAGGTCGTGGAGCGAGACTCTGATGGCGACGGCCCTGGCGGCGGCAAAGCTACGGGTCCCAGCGAGTGAGCTGGAACAGAGCCTGTTGTGGCGGCAAGGAACCCTACCCGTCAGGCTGGGGGGGCTAGGCATCATCGACCCTACCTCGGAGGCACCGGCAGCCTACATCGCTTCAGTAATGGCAGCCCACACCCTACTGCGGCAGATGAACCTACCAGAGGCATACCTGCTGAAGAGGGCGGTCACACGGCTCGACCATGCATGGAGCCCTGCCCCACCTGAAGTTAACCAGCTGGCCCCACTGGAGGCAGCCCTGCCGGCTTCAGCACGAACCGCACTACAGGCGTTCAAGGAGCAGCCAGCAGGACAGGGTAACCTGCAGCTACTACTCTCCCGCCACATCTATGAGAGGCGAGCAGCGGAACTACTGGCTGACACGATCAAAGACCGCCCAGGCACATACCGCGGGCACGCCATCCGCCTCATCAGCCTACAGGGGGTGGGGGCAGGGGACTGGCTACACGCTATGCCTTCGAGAGCTGACCTTACATTTGCCCCTGGTCAGTTCTCCTTGGCGCTGGGGTTCCGCATGGGCATGTCCATGCCGGTCACTGAGAAGTGTCCCTGCAAGAGAGAGTATTCAGACATCAACGACACGAGCCTGCCGAACCATCTCCTTAGGTGCGGGTACGGGGGCGACGTCGTTAGAACGCACAACGCGCTAGTGTTTGCAGCCCTCAGGATGGCAAGGGAAGCGGACTTCACGTGCTTCCACGAGACATCAGCTTTTTCCCCACCGATCCTCAGGAAGAGGGGAGACCTGGCGATTCGAGACAGGGAGTCAAACGAGACCTGGGTTACAGACGTGACAGTGACTGACCCTGTGCTCCAGCAGCGCGACACCAGGGCACGGAAACCACCGGGGTGGGCGGCTGAGGAGGCCTCGGCTAGGAAGCACAGGGAATATGAGGATCGGCCAGACTACGTCGGCTTCTTTGGCCTCACGGTTGAGACGTATGGGGCTCTGTCCTCGGACACACAGGAGTTCCTACGGCTACTGGCCACCTCAGCAGCCAAGAAGAAATACCGCCAGGGGAAGTTGACAACGACGACTGCACGGCTCACTGCACACTACCGGCAGCGCTGGTCTGTGATGCTGCAGCGCTCCCAGGCAACATCCTATCTGAACAAGTCAAACCTCTCTGATGAGGCAGCGTTCCCCCAGGCTGCTAGGGACCCTTGGGAACCTAGCCTGGGGGACCTCTGGCAAGTGCTGGAGGATGAGCTGGAGGTTGTGATGGCTCAGTAGGTAGGAGTGGGTGTTGGCCAGTGATGTAGCCATGGCTCGGTTGCTGCATGATTGGCCTGAATGGCCTGCCTGCCTGCACTCCTGACCGTGCTTGGCCTTACCTTACAGTGCCCTGTCTCGCTGGTTTGCCTTGCCTCGCCTTGTCTGCTTGCCATGCCTCACCTGACCGGTTTGTCTGCGTGCAGATGTTCTGCTTGCTTCACGTTCCTGCCTTGCATAATTAGTAGCTCCAATGCCTAGGCCTGTCTAGCTCTATTCCTACCATGCCTGTACCCCTATGAACCTATCAATGAAGGACTGCTTGAGAGAGAGGCACTAGGGACCAGTCCTTAGCCTCCCTTAGCCTCTCCTAGCCTCTCTTCTCTAGTATATAAGGCCTAGGAGCCCTTGCTCCTGTCATTGTTTTCTGTTGGGTTCCTTTCACTCTTCAGAATCCAGCGGCTATGGAGAGAGATCGAGTGAGAGAGAGAGAGAGAGAGAGAGGCACTAGGGACCAGTCCTTAGCCTCCCTTAGCCTCTCCTAGCCTCTCTTCCCTAGTATATAAGGCCTAGGAGCCCTTGTTCCAGTCATTGTTTTCTGTTGGGTTCCTTTCACTCTTCAGAATCCAGCGGCTATGGAGAGAGATCGAGTGAGAGAGAGAGAGAGAGAGGCACTAGGGACCAATCCTTAGCCTCCCTTAGCCTCTCCTAGCCTCTCTTCCCTAGTATATAAGGCCTAGGAGCCCTTGTTCCTGTCATTGTTTTCTGTTGGGTTCCTTTCACTCTTCAGAATCCAGCGGCTATGGAGAGAGATCGAGTGAGAGAGAGAGAGAGAGAGGCACTAGGGACCAGTCCTTAGCCTCCCTTAGCCTCTCCTAGCCTCTCTTCCCTAGTATATAAGGCCTAGGAGCCCTTGTTCCTGTCATTGTTTTCTGTTGGGTTCCTTTCACTCTTCAGAATCCAGCGGCTATGGAGAGAGATCGAGTGAGAGAGAGAGAGAGGCACTAGGGACCAGTTTTTAGCCTCCCTTAGCCTCTCCTAGCCTCTCTTCCCTAGTATATAAGGCCTAGGAGCCCTTGTTCATGTCATTGTTTTCTGTTGGGTTCCTTTCACTCTTCAGAATCCAGCGCCTCGCGCCAGCCGCCTTCGGCGGCCGCCGCTCGACAGCGCGGCCTTCGGACGCGCAAGAGGGGAGGCAAGGAAAGGGGACGACAAGGACTATAACTGCAAGTGATACAACATGCAGGGTTAGCGTTCAACAACAACAGCAACACCCCCGGGCGTGCCTACTCCGCCATGGGGAAGCCCAAAGCCAGACCTGCCACACGGGAGGCTGGCAAGGGGAAGGCGCCTGCTACTCGACCAGGATCCAACAAAGCCGCCCGTCCAGCCAGCGTAGGACAGACGCGACTGCGGCTACAAGGTCGAGCGGGTCGTCTTGGGCAGACTCGGCAAGCCGCGCCAAAGCTCCAGGACCAGGCCCGAGGGCAGCCCCAGGGGAGCCCGGCACAAAGCCAATCAGGGGGAGGTAATGCTGCAACTCCTCTGCTACCGATACCGCCGCCGACTGCGCCGCTGGCTGCATCGCCTCGATCTGCACTCCCTGCTGCAGCAGGGTCACGTGAAGCTGGTCGAGCACATACGACAGGAGCGTCAAGCAAGTCCCCGCGTGCATCACGCGCTGCTCGACGAGAGTTGGAGGCTCACCAGGAACCACGGCAGGAGGAGGAGGTGGGGCGGGAGGCGTTATCGGCCCCCATGGGTGCTGCGGACGGAGGGGCAAAGGAAATTGACGGAGCGGAGATTGGGCAGGCCGCTGCTGTGCTACCCAGAATGGCTGCGGCGGGGAAGTCTGTGGCTGCTGATGCTGTTGTGCCTACAGCGGAGAGGGCTGCAGTCCTGGTGTCTGCTGGCGTTTCTGCCGCTGTCTTTGACGCCGACTCAGTTTCACCCTCTGCCACCCCATGGGTTGCACAGGTGGAGGCTGAGGGGACGAGGTTGGGCGCGGATCCGGAACAGACCGCGGAGGTTGCGCTGTCCGCGTCCCCGACACCGGTGACACCGGTTGTGTCTGCTGTGACTGGGGAGCAGGGTGACGCCCCGACGGCGGAAGGCGCGATGACTGCCGCTGCGTGCGCCGGAATGCCTGCTGCTGCCGCAGCCGCAAGCAGGCAGGAGCACGGCCAGGCGGTGGGAGAGTTTCCAGGACCCGCAAACGGCGATTCCTCCGGCGCTGCACAGTCAAAGTTGAAGAAGAAGCTACGGGCCCAGCCAGCGCCGAGACGGCCCGGAGCAGGGCTAGGACCTGGCTCCCCGGGACCCCTCCGGGGCTGGCTTCTGCAAGGGCAACCGCCATCAGAGCGAGCGCATCGGTCGTCATCTGCGCACACGCAAGAGGCACGAGGGGTTTCTGGACTCAACGAGGCGGCAACAGAGACGGCGGCAACCCGCCATGCAGAGCAGCCGGCTGCAAACCAGGACAACGGAACATACAGCCACTCACCGCCAGGCCCAGTCGCTCCAGTTGCAGAAGCCGTCGCCACTCGTCGCTCGGCTCGGTTGGGAACTGTCACGTGGGGTCCACCAAGGGGAGGCCGTACCCCGTGGATGCCGGCGGGGAGAGCGGGACTGGAAGCGACAGCTCGGCCAGCGCCGGCGGCAGGCCGGGGTTTCCGCGGTATGGGCCGCGGGAGGCGAGGGGGAGGGCGCGGGGGTGTCGCTCGCCTGGGGGGAGCCGAGATCCAAGCACGAACGGGCCCTTGGCGGGAGCGTCACGACCGCCCAGAGGTTTTGGAGGCTGCAGCCAATAGGGAGGAAGCTCGTTCTGCCGAAGACACTGGGGATCCTGAGTTTATGTGTGGAGAGGAGGCGGGCCCAGAGTCCGAAGAGATTTCTCTGGATAACGAGGAGGAAGTGGGAAGAGGCAGGAATCGAGTGAGGGGAGCGGGAGAGGGAGTGGACGGAGTGACATCCCATGCTGAAGGAGTGCCTGTACCAGCTGCCACGGTCACCAACGAAGTAAAATCGTTGGCCACCCTGGTAGAGGATGACGCCATTTGGCAGGCGGCAGGAACGTGGACTCTGGATCTCCTTCAACGGATGGACCAGCCCTTCCTAGTCAGACGACTGCCACCTCAAGTGTTGGACAAATTCTGCCTGTGTCTCCTCGCACCTCTCCTGCGGCTGTCAACAAACCCAGAATGCCCAGGTGCATGGGCGTCCTACTGTACCTCCCGAGGCTGACACTGCGCCCGCCACCAGAGCCAGTTGCTGGCAGTCGTTGGGCAGAAATCGAGGCTCGGGTGCACCAGTTCCAGCTGGGAGATTGGGATGGTTTGTTCGAGGCTGCTTGCACCATCCCCGACACGGGTGCTCCGCTAAGGCACCAAGATGATGACGAGGGGGTTTGTGCGAGAGCGGAGGGTTTGGTTAAAAAAGGTAACATTTCGAAGGCGGTTGCGGCGTTACGTACGAGCCCCCTCGCCAAACCCAACCCTGCGACGCTATCCGCCCTGCGAGCGAAACACCCGTCATCGAGCACTCCAACACCAGCCTGGGTTACTGGGATAACTGGCTCCGAGCTCAGTATTCTGTCAAACATCATATATGTTATAGTGATGTAGGCTATATTGGATTTAGCATTAGGGGGTACACAAGTCTAGGTTTGTACTTGTACTCTCGATTCCTTCTAGTCGACATCTTTCTCATTCTAACATGGCATCAGAAGCCTAGGTTATGCACCTAGGACCATCTCGTTCTAAGGGCCCGCCCTTCCGCTAGCGCCCTCGAGCGCCTTCTCCTTTAGCGCCCTCGTGCGCCTCGCTGTTAGTGCGCCCTCGCGCGCCTCGTTTCCCGGTCGAGTAGCCTGCTAGAAGACCGCGTGCGGCCTCGGTTTTTGACCCGCTAGCAGCCCGCACGCAGCCCGAGTCGCGCGCGCGACGACCGTAGGCCGCCCGCGCGGCTAGATCAGCCCATGAGCAATCCCCTAACCGCCCGTCGACCCGCTCGGCTAGCTCGCCAGCGCTACGCAGCCCTGCCCGTAGGCCGTCGTGTCGCCCCAGTAGGCCGCCGCCACTGCTTTAGTAGGCCCCCACCCGCGCACGACTGCAGCCTGAGCGGGACCGCTCGCCCCTAGGACGGCGCACGACCCACCGCCGCTCGCCCGCAGGTCGCAGCCCGCCCACAGTGACGAAGGCACGTACACTGCTGCAGCTCGCGTTTTTCGCTGCAGCCTAGACCCACCCGCAGCCTGTGCGCAGCTGCACATTAGGCGCCGCCGCCCACCGTGCTAAGCCCGCCGTCGCGCTGCCCTTAGTGCCCGAGCCGCGCCGCCCGAGTCGCGCCGCCCGAGCCGCGCCGCCCGAGCCGCGCCGCCCTGACCGAGCCGCGCCGCCCCACCAGCTGCACCTGCTGTTCCTGTTTCTACTGTTTCTGCTGTTCCTCTCACTACTGCTGCTACTGCTGCTGCTCTTACTGCTACTGCTGCTACTGCCACTATGGCTACACCCACGGTTCTCTCTTTCGATGCTGAGGGCCGTCCGCTCCAGTTTGAGGCCTGGCTCGACGATCTCCACCTCTTCCTCCAGATCACAGCTAAGGATGATGTCTCGCTGTATGACCACGCGCTAGGAACCGCTCTCGCACCTGCTGACTCTGCTGACAGTACCGCTCGCTCCCAGTGGCAGACTCGTGACGCCCACGCTCGCCTAGCCATTCGCAGCCACCTGCCGTTAGATGAGCGCGCACACTTCGGCCAGCATAAGGCTGCTCAGGCACTGTACGATGCAGTCGTCGCTCGCTACTCCTCACCTGCCTCTGCTACGATAGGCCGTCTCTCGCTGCCCTATCTTTTCCCCGATCTCGCCGCCTTTCCCACAGTCGCTGACCTCATCACCCACCTCCGCACTAGTGACACTCGCTACCGAGCCGCCCTTCCTGCTGAGTTCCTCGCCAAGAATCCCCCCCCGATATACCTCATTCTCTACCACCTAGTCACTCGTCTCCCTGACTCTCTTCGCGCAGTCAGGGACCACTTTCTCGCCCTCTGCCCCACCGAGCTCACCACTGACCTCCTTGAGAAGCATCTGCTTGCAGCTGAGTCTAGCATAGTTGCTGTAGGTGCCTCTCGTGGCGACCCCCGCACGCCCTTCTTTGACGGGTGTTCCCCTCCCCCCCTTCTCCCCTCTGTTGCCTCTGCTGCCGCTGTCGACTTCCTTGGTGCTGAGGAAGTCGGGGCTGCGTCTGCTCCTAGCTGGAGGCGCAAGGGCGGCAAGGGCAAGGGGGGCAAGGGTGGTGGTGGTACCAGCGGGGGAGGTGGAGGTGGAGGTGGCGGCGGTGGGGGCGGTGGGGGTGGTGGCGGTGGTGGTGGGGGTGGTGGTTGTTATGTGATGCTATCATTTGCATTCACGTCTGTCTGCCTCCCATCATATGTTCGTGTGTTGCATGCGTGGTGTGAGCGTGTGCAAGAATTTGTGTTTGGTGTTGTTTGGATTTTCTGAGTGTGTGTTTGAATGTTATTTGGCTTGAGCAGATATCTGAAGTGACTCCTCTGCTCAAGAGCTTTCCGACGAACCACGTATCGCTTCAATCGGAGCACGAACAAGAAAGTTACGAACGTTGGAAGTTCGTATGCTTTTGATATTTGGTTGTGGTGACTATGGGAAGTTGTGGTGTTGACTCCATAAGGAGTACAGACTCTTGGGGGTTGGGAAATTCGTCAACATCACTGTAGATGCTGCCAAGTGGTTGGGAGGTGCCAAACCAGGTTGGCAAGTGTGGCCAAGTTGGGTGAGGTGGATGGCATGAGTTGAGAAAGTGACAAATGTCAAAGTTGGGGTGCCTATAGAGAGGGGAATTGTGTGGTATGGGGTGTCCTTGGTTGGGGACTCCCTTGGGACCTTCCCTCTCGTCCTCCTCATCCCCTCCTACCTGGTTCTATTGCTACTCCAACTTTCTTGTGTGAACTTGTGAGATCATTGTGATTGAGTTACGTTTTCTATGGCAGCATACCCCCTAGTGCGCCGAAGTTCATAACTCGAGTTATACTCCATATTTTGATACTATTCAAATTGGGAAAGATAGCCACAGTCAAGGGCTACAACATACTCGAGTTTGAAAGGATTCTAACAGTGGACCTTCCGTCGACGACGTTTCTTGTGACGACGACTTTTCTGTCCAGAATTGTAGTTGACGATTTTGAGATATTTCAGCCCCTAATCTTCATAGACTCCGTCCTTAATCTCTAACAGTGGTGGGGCTGGGGGGGTGGGTGGCAGCGGCGGGGGTGGTGGCGGCAGTGGTGGTGGAGGGGGCCGGGGTGGAGGTGGTGGTGGTGGAGGCAGTGGGCGTGGGGGCGGCGGCTCGGGTGGTGGTCGGGGTGGACCGGCGCAGCGTGGAGGTGCGGGTGGAGTCCAGCGCCAGCAGCAGCGTCTTGGAGAGACCCCGTCATCCCAGCAGCTTCGTGAGTGGTACTCTCAGCATGGGGGGTCTGGGGGCGGGGGTACCTGCACGTATGTCATCCGCACAGGTGACCGAGCTGGTCAGACGTGTGGGAGGTTCCACACGCCACAGCGCTGCTTCTTCCGTCTCGACGACGCCTGGCGTGCACAGTTCCCTGAGGCCTCTGAGCTGCCCCGCTGGGCTGATCTGCTTAAAAAGAACATTGATGTATTTGCACTTGACTTTGATGTTATCCTAGGAGCCATGTATGCATTGACTATTAGTGTTGAGGGTGACTGCTACTTGTGTGTGCCACCAGACCCGGGCATTGCGACCAGTGAGGCTGCCGCTCTAGGTGCTAGTGCGTCTGCTGCCCCAGGTCCTGGTGAGGCTGCTGCTCTAGGTGCAGGTGTGTCTGCTGCTTCAGGTGCTTGTGAGTCTGCGCCTTCAGGTACTGAGTCTACTGAGGCACTGCACACCTTCACACTGGACTCAGGTGCTTCTCGCTGTTTCTTTCGCGACCGCACTGCTCTCGAGCAGCTCCCTAGGCCGGTTGCTGTCTCCCTGGCTGACCCCTCAGGGGGTCCGGTCCTTGCGACCTCCTCCACTGCCCTCCCTTGTCCTACTGTCCCGTCCGGCACACTGTCGGGCCTCTACCTACCCTCGTTCTCTACGAACTTGGTGGCGGGTCCGCGCTCCAGGATGCGGGTGTTCACCAGTTCACCCCTGCCTACGAGCGTGTGACACACTGCACGTGTGCCCAGACGGGTCGTCACCTGGCTACCTTCACTAGGCAGCCGGGGTCGGACTTGTACACACTGACCACTGAGTCCCCTCAGGTAGCAGCGTCTGCGTCTGCGTCAGGTCAGTTGTCCGCCCCCTGCTCGTGTCGCTCCCTGTCACACCGGACGGTCCTCTGGCACCACCGCCTTGGGCACCCTTCGATGCAGCGCCTCCGTGGCATGCACTCCCGTTACCTTGTCTCTGGTCTCCCCAGGTCACTGCCTCCCCTGCCACAGTCCCCTGCCCCTCCCTGCCTTCCCTGTGTTGAGGGGCGGCAGCGTGCCACCCCTCACTCCTCTGAGTTTCCCCCGACGGAGGCCCCTCTGCAGACCCTTCACATGGACGTGTGGGGCCCAGCCCGCGTTCGTGGACAGGGAGGCGAGCGCTACTTCCTGCTCGTAGTTGACGATTACACGCGTTACACCACGGTCTTCCCCTTGCGCACCAAGGGAGAGGTCCCTGCTGTTTTGATCCCTTGGATCCGCGCTACCCGTCTCCAGCTGGAGAGGCGCTTTTGCACGGACCTTCCTGTCCTGCGTCTGCACTCTGACAGGGGCGGAGAGTTTTCCTCCGGTCTCTTGGTGACCTTCTGTCAGGGGGAGGGCATACGCCAGACGTTCACGCTTCCGGCCTCTCCTCAGCAGAATGGGGTTGCTGAGCGCCGCATTGGCTTGGTCATGGAGGTCGCTCGTACCTCCTTGGTCCATGCGGCTGCCCCCCATTTTCTGTGGCCGTTTGCGGTCTGCTACGCCGCGCATCAGCTCAACCCCGTGTCTCCGTTCCGGAGACCTCGCCGACGCTGCGTTGGACGGGAGAGGTTGGCGATGCGTCTGTGTTCCGGGTCTGGGGATCTCGTGCCTTTGTCCGCGATACGTCTGCGGACAAGCTCTCCGCCCG